AAAAATGATAAACCTTCACATCAAAATTAAAAAGAGGACCAGCACAAATATTTAGCAAATACTAAAACAATAGCAACAAAGGAAGTGATAACATGATTCACAAACAAAACGAGCTCAGCATAGAAAATTATATGGAACAAAGAAATCGACACCACGAAAAAGCACATAACAAAAATGTCAACAACAAATTCATATTTGCCAATAATTACAAATCTGGCAAGGGACTTATCTCTAAGATTTATAGAAAACTCAATGTCTCAACACCAAAGAAATAAACAATCCAATTGAAAAATGGGCAGAAGACATGAATAGACACTTCACCAAGGAGGATATTTAGGTGGTCAGCTAATACATGAAGAGATGCTCACAATCATTGGACATCAGAGAGATGTAAATCAAAACAACAATGAGATACTGTCTCACCCCAACACTGATGGCAAGGTTCAATGAGACAGAAAATAACAAATGCTGACAGGGATGTGGAGAGATTGGGACTCTCATACAGTGGAACTGTGAAGTGATACAACCACTGTGGAAAGCAATATGGTGATTCCTTAGAAAACTGGAATTGGAGATACCATTTGACCCAGCAATCTCATTACTAGGTGTATATCCTAGAGAGGTGAGAGCCAGGACAGGAACAGATATATGCACACTCATGTTCATCACAGCACTATTTACAATAGCAAAAAGATGGAAATAACTTACGTGCCCATCAGCAGAAGAGTGGATGACCAAGCTATGGTACACACAAGTAATGGAATGCTATGCAGCACTAAGGAATAATGTAGAGTCTGCAAAACACTGCATAATATGGATGAACTTGGAGGACATTATGCTGAGGGAAATAAGTCAGTCACAGAAGGACAAATATAGTATTAGTTCATTGCTGTGGAGGGTCAAGGAAAGCTTTATATATGGAGGGAAACTTTCTTTGTTGGTTGCCAGGGTGGGAGGGGAGGGGAGGGAACATTACAAAAAAAAAAAAAAAGCATTGACCCATGTCCTTTAGTTTTGTGTATTTCACGTACATAAATTATATTTCAATAAAATGCATTAAAGAAAAAAAAGAAAGAAAGAAAAGTTGTTTAGAGAGTGGTGGAATAGGGGGAGATTTGAAGGAGTTGGATTGGAGCTCACATCTGCTCTTGTTTCAGCCAAGGTAGGACGATGCCCATACTACCCTTTGAGGAATAACATGGATTGTTCCAATACGTGTTTGAGCGACTACGATTGTCCTGACACTGATAAATGTTGTAGTTCCACGTGTGGCTTTATTTGTGCCAAGGCCTGGAAAGGTGAGAACTGGGGAAATACCTCCCAAAGTCTCTGAAGCACGTGTCAAAAATGCTACGCTGTCCCATTGAGTGGATGATGTCTCAAAACCTCAGCTGCCCCTTGGGTTGGTTGACTTATGAGGTACTGTAGGAACATTTTACTTTTCAATGCTCAGCCAGTACTGTTGCGTTGCCCTCCTGGCCTCTGAAGACTGTTGTTCTGCCCTTCAAACCTAATCGTGCATCACTATTCATTCTCCATGTGAACATTGGAGAATGTTCTCATTCTCCAATGCCCTGCAAGGTGATAATATCCACTGATTCATACAAAGAAATTAATGGTTAATAATCATTAAGTATATTCCTTTAACAAGCGGTAATGTCTGCACAGAACTTCCAAGCATATACAACTTATTCACATACTGTATGGCATGCTGGGAAAAAGATTGGTAGTAAAAAGGTATTGGAGTAGAAACCAACTCTCCAGTCTCTAAGGCTGGTGTTCCTCCCTCCACATTGAGTTGGGATAGCGTGGTCATGCCTCAGGGATTGTCAGTATTTTCAGGTAAAGTGCAGTATGCTGGAAATAGCAAAAGGCTTGTCAATTGACTGCAACTTTTCTATGGGTTTTCTGTGTGGCCTTAGGCAATTCCCTTCCACCTAAATGGTTCTCAGTGTCCACAATTAATAAACCAAGGAAGTTCTGCATGCTTTCTAATACTCCTTCCAGCTCTGGAAGGCAGAATTATAGAACCCAAATCCGTTAATTTTGTAGGGTCAGGTAGGAATCCTAGCATGTTGTTAGTCAGTGATGGCAATACTTTTTGATGTTCTTCAAATTACTTGGTATAGAAAGTAGATACCCTGCCTCCTCCACTCTGTTATGACAGCAGTGGTACAGGGAAGAGGTTTTATCAGGAGAAGTCCTGCTTGGGGTTCCCAAGATCCCCTAACTGTGTCCTAAACTATGACTTAGTATTTTAAGGTGAAGTGTCTTGCTTTACACCTATGGTGCCTGACTCCATCTTTCTGTCTCTAGTGAAAAGAAGTGACTGTCCAGAGATACTGGACTTCTGTGAAGAAGTTGAAAAACCCCAGTGCCAGGTGGATGATGACTGCCCAGACTTTCACAAGTGCTGCTCAGATTGTGGACTGAAATGCATAGATCCCTTTTCATGGGTGTCTTCTCAACTAGAAGATGATGACTAACATTAAAAAAAAAAAAAAAAAAACCTATCAATTTCATTTGTATTTTATCCAAATTGTCTTATTAATTGTAACCATCTTTATTAGGGTTATTTTGCTTTTATATATAATCATATCATCTGAAAGTGATGATAAACTTGACTTTTCTTCTTTCCAACTTTATATGACTTTTTCTTTAACTTTGTATTGCGATTTGGATGAAAGTTCACAGGACAACTTGGTTACACTACAATTACATTCAACTGTTCATACACGTTTGCTGACATTGAATGCAGTTCCCACAATGGAACAGCACTCATCCCAATTCCTGCCCGTGGTTACCATTTCCCTTTGTCCTTCTTGCCTTCCATTCCTTCCTTCTGAACTTTATCCCCGGGCAAATGCTGCCCTTTGGATCTCATATGGTTGATTGTTCTAAGGAGTGTGCACCTCCCTGATGTTATTGTTCACCTCACATGCCTGTCTATTCTTTGGCTGAAAGTTGAGTCACAGGGGTGAGGTCAGTACCAGGCTTGAAGGGTGACTAATGGACATAGCCTTGGAGGTTCTACCAGCCTCTATAAAACTGGTAAGCCTAGTCTTTTTATTATTATTATTTTGAGTTTTGTTCCACATTTTTCCTTCCATTCTATCCAGGATCTTCTACAGTGATCTCTCTCAGAGTGGTTAGCAGTAGTAGCTAGGTACCATCTAGTTCTTCTAGTCTCAGGGTTGTGGAAGTTGAAACTCACGTGGTCCACTAGTCCCTTCAACTAATTGTTTCTATGCATCTTTGATTTTCTTCAGTCTTTTTTGCTCCAGTAGAGAGACCAATAATTGCACCTTACATGGCTGCTAGCAAGCTTTTAAGACCCCAGTCACTACTCACCAAAATAGGACGTAGAACATTGTCTTTGTGGAATATGTTATGCCAACTGACCTTGATGTCTTTGGTGACTACGGTCCTAAATCCCCAGGCCCAGCAACTCATTCCTTCAAGGTATTTGGTTATGGCTCAGAAATTTTCTTAACTTTATCCCCTGTTCACTCTACCGTATACAGGCATATTTTTACAGCACACACAAATATGTATGTAGAAATAATGTCTGCCAAACCTATATATGGTTGTGAGTGTGACTTCTTTGTTTTCTTGTCTTCTTATAATTTTATAGAATCTCTTCTTATATTATACAGAATATTTATCTTTGTCTGGTTCTTTATTTAAAGTCAATAGTTTCTTCTGTATAAAATGATATTTGTTCTTGGGATAAATAGATTTTTATCATACTTATGTTGTTTTCCTTTTATCCTTTTACAGCTGATATTATAACTGATTAATTTAATCAAATCCTTTTTAAGCATCTAGTCGTATAATTACAACTTCTTATTCGAGTTTGTTGGTATAATAACTTATACATTATTAAATTTTTTAATGTTAAACTATCCTTGCATTGCTGGAATAACCTTAATCATATTGAAGTGTATGTGTACTTGTATTAATATATTGTTGGCTGTTTTAGCAAGCTGTTTACTTAGAATTTTCACATCTATAGTCATAAAAAGGAGCCCTAGTGGTGCAGTGGTTAAGTGTTTGGCTGCTAACCAAAACGTTGGTGATTCCAACCCACCCAATGGCTCTGCATGGGAAAGACCTAGCAATCTGCTTCCATGAAGACTACAGCCTAGAAAAGCAGACAAGGCAGTTCTGCTCTGTCACATGGGTCACTAGGAGTCAAAATTCAATTTGAAGGCACCAGCACAGTGCCTAAGGCACTCGACTGCTAACCAGAAGGCTGGAGGTTCAAACCCATCAGCCACTCCTCGGAAGGAAGATGGGGCAATCTACTTCCATAGCGATACCGCCTCGGAAACCCAAGGAGGGGTCGCTATGAGTCGAGTCCGACTTGATGGCACATAACAACAACAACAACAACAATATAAT